CGGTCTAGTTTCTTGAGTTCTTTATATATTTTGGAGATCAGACCTTTGTCAGTTGTGGGGTTGGTGAAGATCTTCTCCCAGTCAGTGGGTTGCCTTTCTGTCTTAGCAACAGTGTCCTTTGCTTTACAGAAGCTTCTCAGTCTCAGGAGGTCCCATTTATTCAATGAGGCCCTTACTGTCTGTGCTGCTGGGGTTATACGTAGGAAGTGGTCTCCTGTGCCCATGTGTTGTAGAGTACTTCCCACTTTCTCTTCTATCAGGTTCAGTGTGTTCAGATTGATATTGAGGTCTTTAATCCACTTGGACTTGAGTTTTGTGCATGTACCTGACTTTCTGCACATCTGCAGCATTCTCTGACTGTGAGACAAACCTTAAACAGCAACACCAACTACTGTGGGGCTTTGCTTAGTGCATGGCACTGGCACGTGGAATTGACTGGTTCTAGTCCACAGGCAACTTCTGGGAGCTGCATCTCTGTACACTGAGTACTGGACTGCTTGAGAGACTGTAGAGCTATAAATTCACATCTGACTTTGTCCAGAACTTTTCTTAGCTTTCTCATGACCTATGCTTGGATATTCACGCCTCTACATTGAATGTCATATGTAACAAATCTTTCTCTGTCCTGTAAGCCAACTCCCAAATAATGACACAGAGATTTATTATTTATTATGAAAATTCAGCCTTAGCTTAGGCTTGTCCTACTCACTCTTATAACTTATTTCATATTTTTAAATCTACATTCTGCCATGTGGCATTACCTCTCTTTCATATTGCACCTCCTGTCTCCTCTCTATGTCTGGCTGGTGACTCTGGCCTTTTTTTTTTACTGTCTTCAGAATTCTCTCTGTCTTCAGAAGTCCCTCCTAACTTCTTCTTGCCTAGCTATTGACCATTCAGCTCTTTATTAGACCAATCAGAAGGCGCCTTGACAAAGACACATCCTCAAGGTACAAATAAATATTCTGCAACATCTACATTAAGAACACACACACACACACACACACACACACACACACACACACACACACATAAACTTATGTACCTTACGAATCTCCTTACATAGATGAGATACTACTAATATTCACACCATCTAGCAGAGGCGTAGTTTATTACTGTGAGCATCTCATGTCCTGATGTACTTTTCCTGGCGTCATGATCATCTGCCCATGTATGCAGTTTGAACATAAGGTAGAGTTCATTCTGGAAAACAACAAACATAATTCTTCTAATAAAAGGAAGCGAAAACAGATGCTTACCACAAGTGAAAATTCAATCTGTTATTACCAGTGTCAAATTTGACTTAATTTTTCCCTAATATTAAATTCTTTGCCAATATATTCTGTGGACTTTGATATTTGCTAATTTAAACCACTGTTTCAAAATAAAGCAGTAGCAGATCTGATTCTAAGCCCTCTAAATGTGTTATTTCTGTTTTCTTCTTCTTCTTCTTCTTCTTCTTCTTCTTCTTCTTCTTCTTCTTCTTCTTCTTCTTCTTCTTCTTCTTCTTCTTCTTCTTCTTCTTCTTCTTCTTCTTCTTCTTCTTCTTCTTCTTCTTCTTCTTCTTCTTCTTCTTCTTCTTCTTCCTCTAGACGGGTTCTTACTATGTAGGCCTGGAACTCAGTATGTAAGACCATGTTGACTTTGAACTCACAGATCTGCCTGGCTCTGCCTCCCAAGTCTGGAATTAAAGGTGTATGCCACCATATTTGACTTCTGTTTTTCTAATTTTTAGTCAGTAGTAGGGCAGACCATTCCTGATGTCATTACAATATGTTTCTGTAGCAGACTGGAGCTCTTTGTCAGCCAGGAAGCCTTAATGCAGTTGACATTTGAAGTTCAGAGCACAGCACTCTTTTTATTTTTTTTAAAAAGAAAACAAACTATCATTTTTTCATTATACAAACCAGTCCAAGTTTCCACTCCCTCCCCTCCTCCTATTCCTTCCACTTACTCCCCCACCACACCCCCCATCCACTCTTCAGAGAGGGTAAGGCTCATTGCTTTGGGGAAGGTTCAAGGCCCTCCCTACTATATCTGTGCTGAGCAAGGTATCCACCCAGAGAATGGGTTCCCAAAAAGCAATTACAAGCAGTTGGGATAAATACTAGTGCCACTGCCAGTGGACCTTCAGTATGTCCCAGCCATACAACTGCCAACCACATTCAGAAGGACTAGTTTGAATCCATGCTTATTCCTTCCCTGTCTGGCTGGAGTTGGTGAGATCCCATTAGTTCAGGTAAACTGTTTCAGTGGGTGTCCCCCATCATGGTCTTGACTTTTTTGCTCATATTCTCACTCCTCCCATTCTTCAACTGGACTTTGGGGAACACAGATACTCTTATGTTAATATCTGCAAACCTTTCTCTTAGCTAATATTGTCACCATTTCTTGTTTCATTAAGATTAGTTTTTTTAATGGTTAGCCTTCATCACTGTTGTGTTTTGGTGATACCATTGAAGACCCTGAGTCTCTTTGGGGGTTCTATAATATCAACATTACTTTTATATATAAAAATATTAACTGATTCATGTATTGTATTCTTTCAGGAATGTACAGTAAAATTTCCCAGAAACTACATACTACCTTATGTCATTAGAGATTGAATTCATAAGTAGAGATGAGAATTTAGTTATATACTAAGCCATTAAATAAATTCATGGAAATGTGACAATAACACCATGCTAAGTTTTTAAAAATATAACTAATTTCCACTAAAATGGTTATTTCTATTAACAAATAATTATGTTGCTGCTATTTTCACAAGAATTAAATAAATGACTTACAAAAGCACTGATTTAAATTCTTAACATAACAATTATTAATTACTATCATCTGCATGAAAAGCTTCTTTGTGTTTCTTAGAAATGGTAAGAATATAATGGAGTCCTAAGGCCAGCATGCTTGAGAACAGTGGTTTAGAGAATTCACTGTAGACAGCTTCTCAATGAGTTTAAGGGGGGGGGGTATATATCTTGATTGGCCTGTGTCACTGGTCATATTTGTCCAAAGGAAAAAAGGGGAAAGAAAACAGGTACACTAGAAGTTCATGTGTATGAGGCCCCTGGTCTCCTGGTGTTGAGTACTGCTCCTGCACATCTGTTTCCTTGGTAACTAAACTTAGATAACACCTGTGGCCTATTAACAGCCTTCCTTAGCTCCAGCCATTCCTCAGGGCAATGAGCATCTGGGAGTAATTAGGGAAGTTGGTAAAGAAGTTTCCTTAGGCAGGAAATTGGTTCCTCTGGAACTTGTTAAATATCAACTCCACAACCAAGATAGTGAAAGCACTTACTGGAATTAGCAATAGTGTTCAAGTCTTCTGGGGACACTTACCAAAAGCAAATAGTGTCAGGAATTAGGAGCTCGTAGTTAATTCTTGAAGGTTTAGACATCATCTTTAAGTTATGGTGAGGGAGCAATTAACTCAAAACGATGCCTGACTTTTTAACAAAGGCACACTCTTAAGTTTCTCCCTGGGGCTCACATGGGTGTAGAATAAGAGCAAGAGGTGTAATTAAGGTCCATGTTAAATCAGATGTTCTTCTCCACTGAGTTTCTTTGGCCAGAGTAATATTTACAAAGACTGGGAAAGTGGGCCAGATTTACCATAGTCTCAGCCAGGTGGAAATGTCTAACACCTTAATCAGACTCAATTTAATAAAAGCAATAGATTTTGCTCTAAGACTTGACCAATATAAACATGTTAATCTAAAGTAAAACAAAACAAAACAAATCTATAATCAAGCACATCATATATTATTTTTTTCTTAAAATAGAAATGCCAAGGACTTATAGAGTAAGGGGTGAGTGAGTGGTCAAGTCAGAAGTTTCTACTTTGTTGACATCTACACAGGCCACAGGCGGCCTCTCTGCCCAGGGCTGTCGTCTGTGGATCTCAGATCCACAGCAGGATAAGCCCAGCCTTGCAAAGTGGTGGGTCTGTCAGACAGGTGGCAATGACACCATCTTCTATATACTTCAAATGACAAACAGCTTCAGTTCTATCCGAAGGGTAAATAGCTTATATCCAGAAGAAAACAGGCAGTTGCAGGAAATGCTTACGTATGAAAATTCTGTAAGAGAAAGAGAAAAATGCTAAAGCACAGAAATAAAATAGCTGGATATCTGAGTGCCTGTTATGAGGGAGCACTTGGTTGAGCACCTTGTGCCCCAACTCAGTGCTTGTTTAATTGTTATAGTCTGGGCACTAACCATACTCCACAGCCAATGCTCACCAGGGCTCATTTTCATCTTCAGTCAACTAACATATGCCAAGATGTCACTTCATGTTACACCCTAAAAGAAGGGTCCCAGAATCAACATGGTTCTTACCTATATGGGTTTTATGTTAAAGAGCAAAAACATAAATAACCCTGTAAGACACACGCAAGGCAGCATAAGTGTTGGAAGGTATATCACAAACCAATGGATCTATGTACACATGTACCCTAAGTATCTATCTATATCTATCTATCTATCTATCTATCTATCTATCTATCTATCCATCCATCTATCTAATCTGTACAATATATCTTGACCAAGGATTGATAGGTTAAGAAAGGTGTGTATAAGAAAGTGATATTTATATAAACATCTAAAGTTTGAGTAGAACATTCATGGAGAGTAGATATCAGAATCCCGGAAAAAAGCAAATGGCTCCATAATGAAAAGAAAGAAACTCCAGGAAAAGAACTTGATAGGTGTGTGGCACCAGAGAAACATTACAACCAGATGCATCAAATCTTAGTATGTCACTAAGGGAATTACAGGAAAGGGTCCACTGAGAACCTGGAGCGATGACTCAATGCTTAAGAGCATGTACTACTCTTGCAGATGACTGAGGTTTAATTCTCAGCACCCATGTCAGATGGCTCACAACCCCTTGTAACTCCAGTTTCAGGGGATCCAATATCTAATGCCTATATTTTACATGCACGTGTGTGTGCACACACATATACACACACACACAAAATCTTTTGAAAAAAGACTAAATTTTTATATTTTTTGTAATTTATAATTCACAATTTTTATGTGTTAATCTAGTTATACCCTATTGTTACTGCAGGTGATTTTTCACTTTTGATTAAATGTTTAATTACACATATAATTTTTATTTAAAAATAAATATCAAGGCTACAAATTTTTAATTTATCTCTTCAGTCAGAAAAATTCAATATGCCCTATTTGATGACATTAATTCATTTCCAGTTATGTCATGAAAGGAGATTATATTATAAAGTCAAGATATTCATAAGAAATTGATTTTCTATTTTTTAGAAATATTGATTTTCAAGTGATAAGACACTTTTCTTTCTATTTTCTGAATTTTAATTTACAGTTTTATTTACTTCAGTAAAAAACTACTCTATGTGATTTATACTTTTTCAAGTTTGGATATAACTTTTTGGGCAAGTGTGTGTATACTCTGTCACCTCTTCATTTGAAAGTTTGAAAATAGATTGTCTTTCTTTCTAATTTCTCAAGGTCTGCTTACTCTTTACTCTTTAAAACCATTTTGATTGAACCCAGATGTAGAATGAGAAGTTTGTGGCGAGAACTGGCAACATCTTTAGGCAGTCTTCTCCTGTCATTTTTCTTTGGCTTCCTTCAATCTTTTAAACCAAAATTCACCATATTGTGCAGCTTTCTTCTTGTTTTTCTTAATGCATTGTTTCTTCCAAGCATCTCCTTGTCATTTGTGTTGCAGAACATAGAGAGTAACATGGTGCTGAAACTTGGGTGTTTTGGTTCTGACTTTACTATTTATGGGCATTCTGACAGCATATTGGCAGACAACAACTTAAGAGATTGGAAAAACTTTCAAATCTGCTAGCTCTTCTGGGCTCCAACTGCTGAGACACAGTAGTTTCTGTCAGTCCAGGACTATTCTTTCCTTTCCACCCCAGCAACCAAGTTGATTGATAGCATTCAAATAGGCAGATACAGGGCATCCTCAAACAGACTGGCGCTTCTCCTTTCTCAGCAGTTTTCCTTGGTGTCTTACTCAATAGAAAGCATGGTAGACCATGGCTCAAGACACCTCGCTTCATGAAAAAACCTTGTTTGTCATTCCCACCACTGATTCCAACCACACAACACTTCCGCTCCTCACCTAGAGCATCAGCAGCTACTTCTGTGGCCATGGCTTCTCATAGAAAGTAGGAATCTTGCATTCATTGTCTACTTCAATTAATTTTTGAGAGCTGGTGTCTGGGAAGGAGATATTCAGCTTCATCTTGTTGTGGCTGATCACCAAGAAAGTGCCACCAAAAAAGTGAGATGTTTTTCTTTTGCTTGCTCTCTACCTGGGATGTTTCTCAGGTTTCATCCTTAATTGATCCTTTTGGGCAGAAGGTAAATGTTCAGCATAGGACCCCAGGGTGGAGTTTCCTCCTGTAGTAACATCTCACGGAAACAAAGGATGCCTCATAAAGTTTTCTGTCAGCCTTTGTGCTCTAGAGGCCACACAAACCTCTGGCATCTCAGCAAGCACCGATCTGTCATCTGAAATTTACTATCCTCTCCT